CAAATATTTAGTAGAACAAAAAAGCTATACACACTCTAGCATTAGCAAAAAAAATTGGAAACAGCATGACCAGTAAGAGAATAGATGAACCTAATAGACAATCATTGAAAATAATCTTTAGGAAGTCTGTTGAGAAATAATTGAAGCAGAATCTGCAGGTGCCTATATGAATTAGCTGGATAGAGATGGGTGAGGATTATTCCACACAGTGGAAGTAAGATCATAAACACATGCATGACAGGATGCCACATTCAGGGAACTACATGGCCTTTTGTTTGTTTCCTTTTTGTAGCTAGAATAGAGGGTAATGTGGGAGGTTATTAGAGATGAGACTAAGAGACAAACAGACCTAATGTGTAAAAGTGAAGGAGTATGAAATTTCTCCTGGGAGTTATGAGAGACAGAGGCATAGCAATATTTAGCATGGATAGAAAACTGATAAGATATAGAAGTGGATACATCTCTTCAAGTGATGACATTCATAAGATGTCTTTGGTATTTGTTTATATCTGAACACAGAATTTTTGTTTTGTGCTATTGCTGAATGAAGAAGACTGTGACCTATATTTCACAATTTATGTAATTGATCAAGATATTTCAAAGAATGACTTCTTTGCCTTATGCCTGGATTTTACATTTACATTTCCTTAATACCATATTATTTGTGGAAAATATTATAAAGAGAAGTGAGGATGAAGGACTACATGCTTGGTAACATTCAAATTAAGGAGTAAACAAAAGAAGACAGGGGTACAAAGACTAAGGATTGGCAGGGAAGTGAGTAGAAAATTAAGACCTATATTACATGAATCAAAGGAGGAATTGGAAACTAGGCTTGATATTTCGGTTTTATCACCACAAAATAACTTTTTTGATATCTTAAAACTTGAAAATAACAATCCTGCCACAGAAAAGAGTTTCTGTAAAAACTCTATAAAAACTGTAAAACATAGATGAGGGAGATTAAAGGTGCAACAAAGAAAAGGAAAGATGTCCAATGTTCTCAGATCAGAAAAATTAATGTTGTTAAGAGGCCATACTACCCAAAGCAGAATCTACAGATTTAATACAATCTCTATCAAAATACCCATGACATTATTCACAGAACTAGAACAAAAAATACTAAAATTTATATGGAACCACAAAAGACCCTGAATTGACAAAGCAATCTTGAGAGAAAAGAACAAAGCTGGAGGTATACACCCTGACTTCAGACTATACTACAAAGCTACAGTAATCAAAACAGAATGGTACTTGCACAAAGATGGACATATAAATCAATGGAACAGAGTGAGAGCCCAGAAATAAGCCCATGCACTTATAGTTATTTAATCAAAGGAGGCAAGAATATACTATGGAGAAAAGACAGCCTCTTCAATAAATGGTGCTGGGAAAACTGGACAGCCACATGTAAATGAATGAAATTGAGAACATTTCTTCATACCATATACAAAAAACAAAAACTCAGAATGGATTAAAGACCTACATGTAAGACAGGAAACCATAAAACACCTAGTAGATAACAGACAGGACACTCTGACATAAATTGTAGCAAAAATTTTTTAATCTGTTTCCTAAGGCAAAAGAAATTAAAGCAAAAATTAAAAACTGGGACCTAATTTAGCATAAAACCTTTTGCACAGCAAAGGAAACCATCAACAAAATGAGAAGACAATGTACAGAATAAGAAAAAAAGTTTTGTGAATGATGTGACAAACGGGGTTAATATCCAGAATGTATAAGCAACTTTTACAACTCAACATCAAAAAAATTGGCCCAATCAAAAAGTAGGCAGAAAGCCTAGATTATTTTTCCCAAAGAAGACATCCAGATGGCCAACAGACACATGAAAAGAAGCTCAGCATTACTAATTATTCAGAGAAGTGCAATTCAAAGCAACAAGATATCACCTCAGAATGACTATCATCAGAAAGCCTACAAATAACAAATGTCGGCAAGGATGGGGAGAAACAGGAACCACATTGTGCACTGTTGGTGGGAATGTACATTGATGCAGCCCCTATGGAAAACTGTGGAGACTCCCCAAAACACTAAAAATGAAACTGCCATGTGATCCAGCAATCCTTTTGCTGGGTATGTATCTGGAAAAAAGGAAAGTACTAATTGGAAAAGATATGTGCACCCCAGTGTTCATAGCAACATTATTATTATAGCCAAGATATGGAAGCCACCCAAGTGTCCCTCAGCAGATGAATGGATAAAGAAAATGTGGTGTGTATGCAAGAAAAGCAAATTCAATCCTAAGCTGCCTTTTAGTTTTATGGATGACATGGTTTCAGTGAAACATTTTTCCTTGGGGGCCAGTGCTGTATTACTCACTATAACAAATCTGTCATTCTCAGCTTCATTTGTTACATTCCCAAGTCTTCATCTTGCTAATATTTATTAAATCTGCATTTTTGCAATTATGAATTGTATTTAGTAAGCCTACCTGAAACTTTCATTAAATATATTTAATTTGGGGACGATGTGAATCAGATTCATCTGAAGAAGTAGCTCTTAATTCTGTGTCAAAACTATTATAGGTTTTCAGAGTAACTATGTTCAGCTGGCCTTGATACAGCAGTAACTCTAAGTTCTGTGTGTTACAAGCTATGACTGATTTGAATTACCTTGTTCATTTTGTGTCTGAGCCATTCATTAGTATGCTTTATTTGACAATGTTTGTTTTATCATATAGGGTACATAAGAGAAGGGTTCCTGGCTGTACAGCATGCCTTAGATAAGGCCATCATGCTGTACCATGACAGCAATGCTAGACAGAAGCTGTTTGATGGTATCAGCATCTTTGTACAGAGATTTCCATACCCAGCTTATCCTCATGACGGATTGCTTTGGCTCACTGGTTCTTACCTCCCTTTGATATTTATACTCATGTTCTCTCCAACTGTACTTTCCATCGTGCGATCCATTGTATGGGAAAAAGAAAACAGATTGAAGGTAATCCCAGTTATTTTCTGATAAAGTTTCTGTAGAGGTTTTTTTTTTTTTTTTTGGCCTGTAGAGCTCTGTTGTTTGGAGAGTTGTGTTATTTCTGCATATTCAGCATTGGTGGGTAGTTGTTACATCTCATAACAGCAAATTACATCCCAGGAGCAACAGCTACAGAGCATGAAGAGTGAATACTGATGCCACCTATCAATTATACAAATTGGCAGATATTCAGAAGCAAACTCTCTCTGAGGAGCAGCAGAAAAATAAAACCGGAGGGCAAGGAGGGGGACAATAAAAGGTCACTTTTGGTATCTCTGATACCTAAAATATCAATGACTTTCAAACACAACTCAACTCCTGGCTAGGTTAATATAAATCCTCACACTGTAGGCCTGTTTACCTTGATATCTACTGCCCTCGATAACAAAAAATTATAAGGCACACCAAAAACTTAAGGAAAAACACAGTCCAAAGAGGCAAATTAATCATCAGAATCAGACTCACATAAGACACAGATGATGGAAATATCAGAGAATGAATTAAAAATTGCTAAGATTAAT